AAAGAGGCCTCTCAGATGGCTGGTACAATAGTGATGAACCGTGGTGATTGGTACTGTCTGTTCCAGAATCAGCTATTGCAGCTCAAGGCCCATTTGCCGGCGTGGTCGCGACGCCACCGGTCACGGGTCAGAAGCGCAGGCGAGCCTTTGTCCGCCACACTCACGTAACGAAGCAGAGCAAAGACTGAGTAACTGTGAGCGGCGCGCAAAAGCGCCGTCAGCGCTCATGCAAAGATTGCGCATTGCTGCGCACAATCGCATTCTAGAAATCTTCTGCTACTACCTACTTCTGCGAGCGGTGTTCGTTGGACGACACCAAACTGTGCAATAAGATCAGGCGTGAGTTCAAGGGAGTGGCCAAAACGTGTTTCGACATATGGCACGATGACTCGATGCCGGTGAGGCCATCCCACCTACCTTGGGGAAGCGCGTGGTCTTGCGCCGACCCGGCCATAAAGCTAGTGCTCGCAAAAAGACCCGCCGGGATCTCCAGCTCCGCGCAAATGACAACGACAACGGATGTGAGGGTAACGACGAGGAGGAAGGTGGCGTTGAGTGAGTTGAGTGTCAGGTGATGCGTGAAGCTGTCAGCAGGGTGTAATGCAACACTTGTTTAACGCATGTACCTTCTTTTCTTCAATTATTGAAATGAATGGTTTCATAATGCCACTCGTCATGTCTCTGTTCTCCTGTGATGTGCTTGGCGGTAGTTACTTACGCCCTGGTCACTCCTTTGAGATTTAATTAAAAGGTGTATAACTTACGACATTGATCTGGAAACCTCTCGAAAGTTTATTTCTCTAACGCCACGCGGTATGTTTGCCACATACAATCCAATGGTACATGAATACGTCAGAAAATACGACATTCTCTTACGTGTTCAGAGGCTTTTTCCGGGAACCAGGGGGTTAAATTTCCATTCATTATTGCATTCGTAATACACAGTGGAGGAGGCCACGAGAAACCGAATTTGTGCGAACAGGAGCTGTTTCGCGTATTGACCATGCACGACCACCCAGGAACTTTTTTATCCGTCAGTGAACAGTTCGTACCTCCACGGTTCCCTTGTCCGCAGCTAGCAGCTGCGACCGCGGAAAACTCCTATAGGCCAGTGACGGGTGTGGGCCTATAATGTACATAGGATATACTTACAAATGCGAGCACAAATACACAGTTTCACTTTGTGGCCTGGAAGAAGCAAGAATCATCAAAACTGTCTTTCGTCGTCTCTAAAGGTTGGTACTCCGCGCAAGTGTAAGCGCTAGAAAACATGAGCGACCAAGACACGATGGACGAGCATGCAGCACCTCAAGTGCAGGACTCGATGTTCGATGAGATGGCTGCTCGCGCCGCTGCGGTGTGGCTGGAGGGCGAGACGTCGCACCAGCAGAGATGCTAGGAATTGGCAAAGACAACCTCGAACCCATTTGAGGATGTTTCGCTTGCAGAGGCCGATACGCACACGGCTACTGCATGCCCGGTGCCCGGTGGCAATCACGTGGCCGCATCGTCAGCGATGTCACACACACCGCGGTTTGCGGGGAAGACGGTGCAGGACAGAAGGATCTTCATGCAATTGAACGATACGTACTTAGACGCCGTCAACGCCTAGCGGACCCAGTAGAACGGAGGGTTTGTTATGCCGGTCGGAGCCTGCGTTTGACAAGGACGAAGCGCATGGTGGCGCGCTACGAGTTCTGCAAGGCGTCGGATTTGGTCACAGAGCTGCAGTGGATCAAGGTACTATAAGCAGACCACTACCTCTCGCACATCGACTAAATTTCCGCTCTAACAGCGATTAATACGCTGTAGATAAAGACGGCGTGGACTGAGTCAAAAAGCAGGATGCTGAAGTTCCAGGCCACCTTGACCGAAGTTGCGTTCGATCATGAACAGTGTGCGATTGTGAGATACCTTGTGGACCCGCTCGCTCCAGCCAGCTTCAAAGCAATCATCGCGACCAAGTTGCCATTCCACAAAATCGAAAAGTATAAAATGAAGTAGCTTCGTTCTGCTTATGGGCCACGCAGCTGGTGCCGGAGTTCATGACGTGAAAAACCGCTGTTCAGGTGGCCGCGGAAGTAATGGACGGTGAGGAGAACCACCAACACAGGAATGCTGGCCGAGCTGGTCATTGTGGCCGTGACCAGCGTGGTAACGCTGGTGATGGCCGCACTGGTCACGGCGGGAAATTTGTCAATGACGACCTAGCATAGGCGCATACGGGAAGATCGGGAGACACGGTTGTAACTGGATCGGTAGATTATTTTACGTTTCATATACTGGTCGGGTGCAGCTTAGGTCGAAGCGTCGCCTATACATAAAAGAAATTACATTTAGTATCAGATAAGTAACACTTAACAGGGAGGGTGAGCAAGATCTGGAAGACATCGGGCGAGGGCGAGTGTCACTCA